CCCCTCCCCTTCCATTCTTAACACCACACTGGAAAAACGAAGTAGTCAAGTCGCACCTTTAAATAAACTGCAATAAATTTATCGCAGGGGTGCTAAAGGAATTTTGTGGCTAATGAGTGCCGGTAAAGGCACAAATTAGCCTCAAAGGTGATTAAAATTATGCTCTTTTGGCAGTTTTAATGCCTTTCTAAATGTATAAAAGAAAACCTAACAACACCTTTTATAAAGGTGCGACTTAACACCTGCTTTGTTTTTCCAGTGCCTTTCATCCTCTTGTATTATTGCTGTGCCTTTGCGCCTGCCTATCTCCGTGCCGTGCAGGTATCCCTGTTTTGTTAGCCTCTGTCTCCCATTACGGTCATTGCTATCGTGTGCGTGTGTCTGTGCGTGTATGTGTGTGTGTAGGTGTGTGCGTGTGTCTGTGTTTGTGTGTGTGCGTGCCGTGAAAAGGCAATTAGTGGGCCTCCAACACTCGAGACGGAGCCGCGCCCCGGCACGTGCCTGTAACCCATGCTCTTCTGTAGTTTAGTCGTCGCACGTCGTCACACACACACACAAATTTTCTTTTTTGTGTTTTCCCCCCACTTAAGCTATGCGAGGAATGTCAAATGTGCTCTCTGGTATGTTTGAAACCTTGCGGGAAATTTGACAGATTAGCCATTCCGAAGCATATCCTTTGTACTATACAGGGTGGGGTGGGTGTTCCAAGCCGTACTTTGTTCTGGTTATACTGGTTATACTGTTCGGCGTGCAGGCTTCGGCGGCTCGCCTTCCGACTCTCACCGCAAACGCCTTAAACTTGTAAAACAAGTGTGCAATATTTGCACACCAAACGTGTGCAAGTTGTGATTAAGCACATTACATGGTGTTTAACTCAAATTGCACACTTGCGTGGTGTGCAAATTTCATAGTTTTGTAAACGTTCAAATTATGCACACTTGGACACACACACAGTTCTATGCTGTCAATAGGGAACTATACGGTGTGCAGCTGCTACACGTCTCGGAAATGTCGAAAGTTTAAACAGCAATTGACGTATAACATAGTTAGACACCACGAAGTCTCGAGAAAAAGCACACTTGAACTTAAACGCCAATCAACGTGCAAGATTAAACACCTGTTTTACCAGTGTAGGGCCCCGTGCAAGTATGCAACCCGTCTGCACGCCTGCATCCGGTACAGTAGGAGCAGGAAAAAGAACGTCTTAGAACACACACCCCAAACCATTTCGCTTGTACTCATTGCGAACTTAATTTTTGTTTGTAAGCTTGCGATGCTGCCAAATTGTGTGTTAGGGCAAACAAGAGTTTCTTGCAGACAACGGCCTGGCAACACCGGAAACCCGAGTGTGTGAATGTCGCACACTTGCAGGTGTGTGAACGACATTCGTACACATACCGGGTGTTTCTTAAAAGACACAGGTGCGGGCGGGTTTGCCTACCCGCTCTTCCCGTAAGGCGCCATAGCCCCTTAGGTAGGCAAACCCACCCGCACCTGTGTCTTTTATGAAACACCCGGTACATGGTGAGACAAGTGTATGAATTTCATAAGAAAACTCAGACCTTTACTCCCTTAGTGTATGAATACAGGCATTCACGCAGCTTCAAGTGTGCGACATTTACACACTTGCGTTTCTAGTGTATTATTACTAAACATTTCCCTAGCATTACTAAACGTTTTCCTAGTGTTATTACGGTGCTAGAAAAAGGTTTAGTTGCACCATGAGAAAGTTTAGTAATACTGAAGAATTTCTGACGAATGCGTACAACAGCACAAATCTTTAGTAATTACTATGCAAATTTTCTGGTTACAAGTCTAGAGTGCTCCCTATAAACGCCCCCTGGCTAACGCCCCCTGGCTAACGCCCTGGCTAACCCCCTGGCTCTGGTTGCAGGTGATGGAGCTGTTCACCCAGATGCGGGACCAGATCAACAGCCCGTCCGCCTCGTCGGGCTCGGCCCGGGAGCTGTCGGGCTCGCCGGCGCACCCGGGCCGCTCGCTCAGCAGCGCCGCCAACCTCACGTCGCTGTGCGCCGACATCTCCCCCAGCAGCTCGCACTTCTTTGAGGTGAGTGGGAGTGCGACCGAGGGGTTGCCTAGTAGGCAGGCGCACCCGGGCCGCTCGCTCAGCAGCGCCGCCAACCTCACGTCGCTGTGCGCCGACATCTCCCCCAGCAGCTCGCACTTCTTTGAGGTGAGTCGGAATGCGCCCGAGGGGTTGCCTACACTGTAAATCCTGGGTGTCCAGCAGGTAGGCGACTTAAGTCGCCTAGTTTTTTGGGTCAGGCGACTTTGTCGCCTACCTGCTGGACACCCAGGATTTACAGTGTAGCAGGCAGGCGCCAGATGCAGCCCACAAAACACGTGCGCGTCCGTGCGACATTTGCCGACGTTTTATGGCTAGTTTAGGGGCCACCAGCAGACATGGATGTATAAGACAACACCCAGAAAATATGGTATCCTTGAAACAGGGCGAAATGATTTGCATAAAAGCTATTTTTATTTTACCTATTAAAAAAAATCAAATAAATTTTCATAAGGACAATATTGTTAATTAAAATAAAGTAAAAATCTGTCGTTAGATTAACAAAATTTACTTGAAAACAAAGGATATGCATGCCTTAAACCAGGGATAAAAATGTATTTTTTTAAATGAATTTCCCTTGGTTTTATGATACCATTTTCTGGGTGCACTATGCCCATTTTATGGTGGTCTCTTTCCGACACGTGTCAAACAGACACATGCAGGTGAGCAAAACAGTAATTCACACTCTTTCGGGTAAGTAAACGGCCTCCTTTCGCAAGTACACGAATCGCTATTCGCTCATCTATGGAAGAGTGTGAAAGGTCATGACCACATGCTAAATAAATTGACGCACACATCTACAACGGTACACTGGAAAAACAAAGGTGCTAAGAAAGGCACTAACGGTTCAGCGCCTTTATAAAGGCACTAAAACTGACAGACACTAAATTCTTGCACCTTCAGGGTTCTCTTTATAGAAAAGAAACTGAAAATTTCTTTTGCACCCCCGAAAGGCACGACTTAGCTCCTCTTTCCCGGTGTACGAATGTGGCATTCTCACACTTGGATTTACAGTGTGGGAGTTGGAATAAGCTGGAAGTTAGAGTGCCGCCTTGACCGTCGCTGACCTTTGCCCTCCTCCTGCCCCAGGTGTTGTACATCGGCAAGATCAAGGTGTCCCACCGCAAGGTCCCCGAGTCGTTCATCGACGACGCCCTGGAGAAGTTCCGCCTCCACGACCTGGAGAAGGAGAAGGAGAAGGGCCGGCTGGTGGAGAACGCCGGCAAGGCCATCCTCATGCGCAACAACTCGAGCTCCAGGATCCTGGCGCCGGGCGCCATCGCGGCCGCGCCCGCCGCCGCGGCCCTGGGCGGGGAGCGGCGCGGCTCGCAGGACTCGACGTACGGCGGCAGCGACCTGGGCTCGGCCGAGAACATCAGCCACAACCCCGGGCTGGCGCCCGCGCTCGTGCCCGCGCCCGCCGCCGTGCCCGTCATCGCGCTCTCCGGCTCCGTGGAGACGCTCGCGCCCGAGCCCGGCGCCGCCACCCCCGCCCTCGGCGAGGACAGCGTGGACCCTGCCGAGCAGCCGCCCGCCGCGCCCACCTCGAGCGCGGCGGATGACGGTTGGGGCAAACAGAAGTAAGCAATTTGCATTGATTTTCATTTTAATATTTTCCGCATATGTGTAATTTGCTTGTTTGGCTGCTTCCCTCAGCTCTCTGCCGCTGGAGTCCATGCGTGCGCGCGCCGGGTCTGCTGGCAGCGCCCTCATGAAGAAGCCGGAGGTCGGCGGGTCGACATCAGTACGTACTCCGTACTACGTACTTACTCCGTACCCGCAACGGAGCCCCCGCCTGCATACCAAACATATCATTTTTATTTCTTTTGTAAATGTGCTTTTTACTTTTCTCCCCTTTAGAATGTTGAACACAACCGCACAATGCTTTTCCTCGTCGGAAGAAGTGACCTTCGACTCATCAGCCCAGACCGCAAGCAAATTCTACTGCACAAAAACCTGAGGGACATTGCAAGTTGTATTCAGGTAATATGCAGACTATCAATTTGAAAATTTGACTGGTTTTTTTTTTAATTTTGATTTAATTGGTCTTTTCTTTGTAAATTGTTAAGGGTGTCAAAAACTCAGAGCATTTTGGTTTCATTTGCCGTGAGCAAAATGCTGAAAATTTCATTGGCTACGTCTTCAAATGTCAGTCAGAATCATTTGCTGATGATGTTGTGGGTGGTAAGTAATTTCCTTTTTTTTTCCATTGATTAATAAATTAAAAGCTGCACTTTCAACTGCCTCTGCTATCCATTTTCCAGCCATAACCCAGGCTTTCCAAGCTACGTCTGAGGCTTACAAAAAGGAGAAACAACCTGTTCTCTCCTGTGAGCACTGCCCAATGGTTTGGTTTCATAAACTATGCACTGAATTGGAAGGTGAGATCTGTTATTTTTAATCTAATCTATGCATTTTCATTTTGTGATATCCCTTGTTGCATGTTCTCATACTTTCCTTTTTTTTTAAGGTGTCAGTGACAGACGATCCCAACAAATGATTTTTAGACGCTTGGAACAACTCCCTGAAGAAGAGCAGAGCACTCTTTTGACCAAATTCCAAGGCTCAGAGAACTCTAGTCATACAAAGGGACAGAGGGAGCAGAACGAGTTCTTAATGATGCTCATAAGAGCACATTGTGAGAGCAAACAGGCCAGACATGTGCATGACACTGCTGAAAACAGGTAAGTTCAAAAAGAATAATTTTTATTTTATTTCACTTCTTGCTTATTCTACTTAATTTTTTTTTTAAATTCTTAGGAGCGAGTTTCTGAATCAGTATTTAGGTGGAAGCACAATATTTATGAAAGCCAAGCGATCATTGACAAGTTCGTTTGACCATCTGTTAAAGAGACGTGGTTCTAGAGATGATTTCAATCCAATGGCAAAGGAGCAAAGTCTTCCTATAAATGCAACACTTTGTAAGGTAAGAAGTGAAAGAAAAATAAATTTTCTTCTGAAAGATTTCTTCCTTTTATTTCTTGTTTCTTACCTTTTATATCTATATTTAACTATAAAAAAAAAATTCTTGTGAAAGATTTCCTCCTTTGAGTTCTTGTTTCTTACCTTTTATATCTACATTTAACTATCAATTTTTAGGAAAACAGTCTAGGGAAAGGCTCACCTTTAGCAAATGGACTTCCCACCTTAGAGCTACCCCCAGATCATGATGAGGACTCAAATGATCCTCATAGACCACGGTCATCCACTCTTGGTTCACTATCAGCAGAAGCTATTAAGAAAGAGCTTGGTCCTGGCGGAAGTTTGTCAGGTGGTTCATCACAGCCGCAGCTAACTGCTGTACCAGGGAGCCCAGGGTCACCCCAACCAAAAGGCGGTCAAATGATGAACATGTAAGTATAAGAGTTACTATATTTATATAGTACTATAGTACTATATATACTATAGTATATACAATCAATATTTGCAATGTATTTGCAATATTACAATATATACTATGGCATCAACTCTCATGTTTTCCTTTTCTAGATTTCTGAAAGTTGGGAACACCCCAAAGTCACCCACTATATCAGCAGACACACCAGAGGATGTAAGAAGACATTCGGGCTCCTGGCGTCAAGCTATTTTCAAGACAGTTGTGACACCAAGCAAATCTCTCCCAGGTTTGTTTGTCTTTTTTACTACATGCTACTCTAGCTACTCAAGACAGATTTTGAATAATTAATGTGAATTTTAAGGGGATGGTGTTGAAGCCAAAGATATTCCTGCCAAGAAAAGCAAGGAGGAGCTGCGTTCTTTGTGGAAAAAGGCAATTAATCAGCAAGTCCTGCTTATTCGAATGGAGAAAGAAAATGCAAGAATAAGAGGTAGATTTATAATTGGATCCTCCTTGTCTAATAAATTAGGTAATAAGTTCTTTTGTTAATTTTTTCTGTTTCTTTAACACCAGCTCATCAAGAAGAAGCAACTGTAAAACGTATTAAACTAGAATATGATGAAATTGGTTCATGCATGAGAGAGGTGATGGAGGTGTGGGATTTATTGATAAGCAAAGAGAGTCGTGTAAGTGCAAGATGTGATAATCAAATGCTATTGCAAGCAATTCGCCAAGGTAAAATTTCATAGCAATTCTTTAAAAATTAAAGTATTATCTGTTTTTTGGGGAACTTTGAAATTACACAATTTTTAAATTCTTTCCAAGGTGTACCAAGGAGCAAAAGAGGAGATGTGTGGCATTTTCTAGCAGAGCAGTATTGTTTAAAGATACCTCCAATTGATACTACCAATTTCCCCAATTACAATGTCCCTTATGAAGATCTCCTCAAACAGCTCACGTCTCATCAACATGCTATCCTTATTGATCTTGGTAAGATAATGCCTCTATTAGATCATTTTGAATTTCTTATTGAATTCAGGGGTTCACTTCTTCCTCGCCATGTTTATTCTACTAACAAAACCAATTTGTATTTCAGGTCGCACTTTCCCAAACCATACGTACTTTTCCTCACCCTTAGGACCAGGTCAACTGGCTTTGTTTAATTTGTTGAAGGCATACTCTCTACTTGATCCGGAAGTAGGTTACTGTCAAGGTCTCAGTTTTGTAGCAGGAATCCTACTGTTACATGTAAGTATTTGCCTGAATTGATTGTATCAAATATAATAGTATCTATAAAAATTCTATTAAAAAAGTACAATTAAAAAAAAATTATATTTTCTTTTTCTAGATGTCTGAAGACATAGCCTTTTTCCTTCTACGCCACCTTATGTTCAGGAGAGGTTTACGGCGACAGTACCTTCCAGACATGGCTGCCTTGCAAGTCCAATTGTACCAGTTGTCTCGTCTCCTTCACGATCAACAACCAGCGTTATATGCTCATCTGGATAAACATGAAGTTGCTCCTACATTGTATGCTGCCCCTTGGATGCTTACTCTTTTTGCCTCTCAATTCCCTCTTGGATTTGTAACCAGAGTTTTTGGTAAGTTAAATCTTTTCTTCAAACTTAAGTTGCTCGTTGTAGTGCTCATCTTAATGCTCAGAGCAATAAAAAGTATCAAATTTTGTTGTCGTTTTTTAGATTTGATATTTGTTGAGAGTCCAGATGTAATATTTAAGGTTGCCATTGCACTTTTGTCCGAGCACAAAGATGGAATTTTGAACTGTGATTCTTTTGAAGAAATCATGGACTATTTGAAAATTAAAATTCCTAATATTGACAAAATTCAACTAGATAGGATTATGAAGAAGGTAAGAAGATATGCTATAAACTCCACCATTCAATTTCAGGGAAATCGACGTTGATTAACATGATTTGTCTCCAACATTTCAGGTATTCAATATGGATGTCACCAAACAATTACATGAATACGAAGTGGAATACCATGTGCTTCAAGAGGAAATGTCTTCTCCCCGACCTGAGGCTGAGAAACTAAGGCAATTAACACAAGAAAATAATCAATTAAAGGATCAGTTAGAGGTAAATACACCAGTCAGCAAATGTCTCTCACAGCATATGAAACATTAAAACACTTACATTTGTTTTGATGCTTATTTTTTTCAGATTTCTTCAAGTAATATGCATCGTTTAGAAACTTCACGGACTCTGCAACAAGCACAATTGAACAGACTTGAATCCCAGGTTCGAAGTCTAGAAGTAAGCATCACTACTCTCGGTGGATTCATATCAACTCTTATTGAAAATCATAAGGATATTGAAATTCCTGGTGATGTTAGAAGGCTTGTAGCACAACTCAGTGCTCCAGGGCCAGATCGTTGTAAAAATAGTGGAAATTTGGGGTTGGGTAACATCTTAAAGCCACGGCATGATCCTCCTAACTCTATGAGACCTGAGTTTAAGCCAGAGTCCAAACTAACTTTGAACATCAACAGAAGCGAAGCAATGGCAAGAACAAAGTCAGACCCTCCTCGTATGGTGCCAACACCACGCAGTTTCCGCCTTAATGTGATTGAAGATGATGATAGATATGAATCAAATCTTAGACCAACCATGAGTCTTCAAAATGGATCTACCATAAATAGTATGAACTCTAAAATTAACAATTCAGGGAAACCATATCCTCTTAAAACTGCTTTGAGTTCTCCAAACCTGTCGTCTAAAATGTCGTCATTTTTCCAAGCTGGTCGACAGCAGCAATCTGAACAGAGACTGAATTCTCTGAACAAAGGTCAAAATGAACTTGATAAACTACTTGAAGGCCATGTTTCATCTAATAACTCTTCTCGAGATTCAAGGGGAGTTAGCCCGGGCAAGAATCTGAATAGTGGTGGTCCATTTGTTGACATTCCTCTAAGTGATGGTAGTAATGAAAAGTTATCAGTGAATGATCATGGAGCATCAAAAGAAAATCAACAACCACTGAGAAGAGTAGACATTATGAAGCAGCTACAAGCAATTCAGAAACATGAATCACTTACAGGCTCTCCAAGTCAGGGCTTACAATCCTTGTCTCTTGGTGCTGAAGTGGGCAAAGTAAACTCACAACAACCCACTGAAGTTACATTACTAGATTCTGGAAGTGACTCAACAGACTCTTTGCAACAAGCCCCAACACTACATCCCTTAGACACATGTTCAGATGTAAGCTTTTCTTATGGAGGCACAACAAAATTAAAAACTATAAGGCCTTTGAGAGCACAACTTGGCAGAAACGCCACTATTGGAACATTTGCACCATCATCTCTTCCACAGACGAGCAGCCCCCCACCTCCATCACCTGAAATAGATGCCACACCACCTGTAACCAGTGAATCACTCAAAGGGCTTGTTCCTCCAAAAAAAGAAGTGATGTCAAGTTAATAAGTATTATATCTATCTATCTCTCTGAACATTACTGATGTTGGGCAATGTGTTATTATGCCCTCTAATCATGTCATTGTTATATTGTTAATCAGATTTGTGGAGTATTTTTGTAAAAAGGAAAAATAGGTATTGAGAAGAGATAAAATACATATTTTGTCTAACCACAACAGAATGTGATATTGCAGTGAGCGTTAGTGAGCATTGTGCTTTTAGAATAGATGCTGTACTGTAAAGGATAAAATTGTTTTGTTAAGTCAAATATTTAGTCATATTTTCTTAATTTGTATGCGATTATGAAGTTGTTTTTAGTAATTTGGTGTGTTCTGTTGTCAGACGCTTTCTAAGCTTAGACCATGACTATTGTTTATCTAATTTTTAAGCTCTTCTTTTGAGTGTGTTTAGTGCACTCTATTTAAAATTTGAATGTAAAAATAATTTTTTATTACTTGCTATCTGCTGCAAGTAAATTTATCAATTTCATTCATCAATAATTGTGATAATGTACTGTGTATACTCAGTGGAATTTTTCAAGGATATTATATTACAAGGAAAAGACAAGGGTTGTGCCAGAATAAATGGAGGAGATTTGCTGGACAAACCTTCATTTGAGCTATTGATTTCTCTGTGATATGGAGGAGACCCCTGTCTGATCAAGTTATTGTAAATACATCTCATCGCCATCATTATCATGATCATTATTTAAAATAAAAACAGAAAAAAACACATTTTATGTTGTATGTTTGTTACCGATGTGATGTTAAACTTGTTTTTATGTCATTAAAATATTTTAAAACTACCTGGACTTCCAATGTGATACACACCACCCTTCACCCATTTCAGACACTTTGCAAATACCAGTAAGGCCCGGGTTTGCTACTTATGTTTCGGTCATGAAGTAATGCTATACCGTCAAATGGTCTAATATGGACCATGTGTAGCAATTTGGACCACCTCATTGTGACTGCTGTGGGGCATATTTTGATACCTAAACGTGTCCTCCTTTCAAAGAGCAGCCAAAAGAAGGTGGTCCAAATTATGAAGATATTTTACAGTCCCTAATGTCCTGAGAATGGTGAGGTCCTGTCGGGTGCTATTTGTTCCTTGTAGAGGAACCCAAATATTAAATATGTATCTTCATACGCACTATCCTACCTTTAATCAGTATTCAATCGCTACCAAAACCGGGATTTTTTTTTATCACAGACTGCTGCCGATCTTCTTGTATTTGAAAATTGGCGGGCATTTAGTAATAGTCTTCGTGTCGCCCCGGATCTCTGCTCGGCGGATATGCCAAGCTACACTTTTGAAATAAAAACGCTTGGTCGCGCTTGGCGCGCTTCGTTTGTGTTGGATATTATTGTACCATTTGAGTTACATTTCTTGTTGATGCAAAGATGTGCTAATCATGCATCGAATTATCAAGCACTTTGACGTGAGAAATTGATGTTGTCAATCTCATAATTCCGTTTTGTATCGTCCTTTGTGGTTGAAGGTACAGTTTCCTAACCTCAAACTATTTTCTTACAGTCAGATATATCTGTTTATTTTGAATTACTAATTGTTTTTGCCTTATTCTAGTATTAATAACATTTTAGACGGTATTTTTAAGTTTCTATTTTATGGCTTTTGTTTTTTGTACTGTGCGTAACATCTCACGTCATTAATTTGTTTCTTATTCTTTGCTTCTCTAGATTTTGTATTCTCTGGCATAACAAATATTATCAAAATGGAACTGCGAATTGGGGCCCGTTATCCTAGTTTCAAAGCATTAGAAGCGGCCATTGAAAAATTTTCTCAGGAGACGAATTCAGTTTACACTGTGTACAACAGCAGACTAATTGATAAAGAAAATTTAAGACGTCCAACTGACAAACAATTACCTGCTTGTTTAAAGTACAAGCATATAAAATTTGCTTGTAAACATTATGGTATACGTAAGAGTAAAAGTCGTGGCCTTCGCCCTAATCAGAGGTTGGTATACATATTGCCAAAATCAAAGACGATCTAATTATATTTATGTTGTCTACATTGTTTGTATGAAGTATTAATCAATGTGTACATTCTTGAACTTTAAATCCTACAGCACTTTTAAGATTGGGTGCCCATCATTTATCTATGTGACAGCTCACTCTAAAGATCTTGTTGTGGAAAAAATGGAGGTAGAACATACTCATTCATGTGACCCTGAGTTAGTAGCCATGTACCCTGAGAGGCGAAGTCTATCACATATTGGAAGCGATGATGGGGAGGAAGAGGTATGTTTCTTTCATTACTAAGATTTAACAGAATGGTAGAAACAACAATTTCAAACTATGGTACATGTTTTTCACAAATATGACCATAACATTGCTATTTTTTTGTCTAGGAAACTGATAATAAACCTGGCAACTCAACACTAAAACTTATTCGCGAAGATGTATTTGATTTATTGACATTGGCTGTGGACAGAAGAAGAATACGAAATTATGTGAGGATTTGCACTGGCCGCAACATGCTTACAGGAGATTTAGCAAACATGGCTAAATATATTCGTCAAAATCCTCGAGATGTCTCAGAAGAAAGGGCATACCAATTAATGGAACATTTAAAATGTTCGTATTTTTCAAAATTTCTTGTAAATCTCTTAACGGTACATGATTAAGCTTAAGCCTAACAATCCGCTGTGTTGTTTTAAAATTTTTGTTTCTGTTCATTCCCATTTTATTGTAGTGGTTGAAAGTAAAGAGAATTTACCCACAACTCGGCCAATGACCACACGTGAGAAGTTTAATTCCATGAAGCGCCGTGTTGCTGTTCCCTCAGGAGTCGTGAGTAATTCATGACATTTTATTAATTTTTATTTGCGTCTTTCCAGTGCTTGAACAAATTTTCTTGTTTCAGAGAGGTGATGAGATGAGGGAAGATGACCCAGAACACTGCTATTCTGCTGGGCCACCTGCTAAAAGGCAAATGAGAGAAAACAATAGGAGACAAAATGATGATGTTATTCACTTTGAAACTGTAGAGCACATCGAAGACTTCCAAGATCAAGATCAAGATCAGGACCAGGTTCAAGAAGAACAAGCTGTTACATCATGGGATGCTAACAGCAGCTTAGCGGATGTTGTGAAGTCAATTCTAGGACCTAACCAGGAAGGACCTGTTATAGTTCATGTAAATAATTACGAAGGTGTGGCTGTTGTTGAGGTCGCTGAAGGCCAGAAGTATGCGACAGGAGAGGAGATTGACCCCACCTCACTTTTAGTGCAAAAGCAGGATGCTGGTTCGTGTTTGTTTTGGTATTTCCAACTGCGCAAGGGATGAAAAGATGTTCATACTAATTTTGTCTTTTTAATTTCAGAATCTGGTGTGACCATTCAGTCTCCAAAAAGGACGGCAAGAAAATCTTTATCACCCCGTAAACCTGTCATTGTTACAAACAAGGCTGGTAATATCCCTACAAGTAAAGTTGTTATTAATACTCAGGAATCTACCTCAAAGGGAAGTACCATACAAATACAATCGTCCCCCAATATTTCAAGAAGTCATCATCAAGAGCGTGTTGAAGACTCTGACGATGAGGAGTTCAAGGATGATTTCAACACTCTCAATGATTGTGATGATAATGAAAGTGACAGTGAGCACAATACAGTTTTCAAGGAAGAGCGGACCATGTACAAAGTGAAAACAGAAAAACTAAATTTGCAGATACGTCATTTACAGAACGATTTAGGAAAGCACGAATTGGAGAAAGAGAAACTACTGCTTGAAATTCGTCTTCTAGAGTTGCAAGTTGCTGAAAGAGAAAGAAAGAAACTAACCAGTGTAACATAGAGAAAATTATGTTGTCAATAATTCTTTGAGGTCTTATTACTCTTTTGGGACAAATTTGCTTGAATTTTGCTTCAATTGTTTTGCCTCTTCTTGAATGTTACTTTTGTATCTTATAATTCCCTTAAATCCCATATCTTTTTGATTGTCATTACATTTGTACCAATTTTATTACCTTTCCTTTAATTTGTGTTTCTGTATAGTATGGTAGATATTTTAAAGGTTGTCAGTGGACAGTTTCATGGTGCCTCTCTGTTTTAAAAGAAAACCGGTTGTATGACTTACCTCTTAGGAACCAATTTTCATTTATCGACAGAGAAAAATCTCCAAACAAACAGCATTAGTGTAGTGTTAGCTTAAGAAAACCAATAATTTTATTCTTACCAAATACAAATGATAGTCAGTATGGTCTCATTGTGTAATTATTCATCACCATATGGTATAATTGTAAATAGATTTAGAAAGTCCAGTTGTACAGCTATGATAGAAGTATCATATATACTAGCGACTGTACCTGCAATAACTTAAATCCTGATTTTGTGTTGAAATATTAGTCTATTTTGCCCGCTTGTTTTTGTAAAATGTAGGCTCAAATTTGTGAATACTTGTGTGTGTATGTGTGAGTGTGATTGAGCATGTGCTTGTCACTGCTGTTGTACATATATTGAGAATTTAAATCCGTACTGAGGAGAGATCAGTACATTTGGGAATCAGATTAATTAATTTGTTTGTTTTGTATGGCAAGGCGTGAAAATTGTTTAAGAAAAGATTATATGCTAAATTGTTGTGAGATTTGACATTTTTTTATTTATTAGGAGTATAATTTTTTAATTTGTGAGCAACAATACAACAGTTTAAAAATATAAAAAAAATAAAAAAACAAACAAATAACTTTAAAAAAAGAACAACATTAACACACATTGCATGCATACTGATGTGTGATTCTGGCCAAGAAAGAAAATTGTTTAATTTCGACTCTTGCGTACCTTACTCTCTCACATCCCTGTTGAGGTGCCAAGGCCAAAAGAAAAAGGTTCAAGGGGCGCGGGATGGCGCCGCTGCCAAAAAACTGCACAGGCTTCGAGACTGTGTGTGTGGGTGGGTAGGGGTGAGGCGGGGG